TCATTTAAAGAGAATGAATGTGCCGTTTGAAAACATTATTAAACCATTGGTCATAGAAAGCTTTAATTAATTAGTCATGTGCAAAAGTTGAAATTTCAAAATAAGTGGTTCCAAACCAGTATTATTTTTAAGGGAGGAATGGCGTCACAAAATGTGGATGTGTATTTGTAGTCCAAAGTAAAAAAAAAAAAAAAAAAAATTAAAATAAACAAACGAACTGACACTTTAAAAAATTCATAGCCATAGCTCAAAAAGTACTAGCGCTAGAAAGTGGAGTCTGGTTTCATTTTTTTTTAAAATTTGCTCCATATAACTAATATTTATATGATTTTTTTTTTTACCGAAGTACCTGATTCTAAACACAATTTTTAAATTGAATCACTACTTCTCGTGGTCCACACGTTTTATCGAGCAAATTCAAGAACGGTCGGCGGGCCTGCTGAACAGACAAAGTTAAATTTTAAATTTTTTCCTTTTGTTTGTTCACTGACGAACGCTTCGTGCCGACACGTTCGTTGTTTTGTTGCGTTCCTTTTTTTTTTTTTTTTTTTTAGGTTTGACCTTACTTTTTCTTATTCATTTCCTATTTTATTTTTTTTTTTTTTTTTTTTTTTTGTGCTCTTATTTTCTTCATTTTTTTTTTTTTTTTTTTTTTTTTTTTTTTTTTTTTTTTTCAGGTTTGACCTTACTTTGTCTTACTCATTTCCTATTTTGCTAACCTGATTGCAGTCTCTCCCCTTATTACCATACGATATATATATATATGTATATACACAAACGTGTGCTTTAGTAACTTTCTTATTCTAAGACTTCATGTGTCTTACTACCTTTATATTATGTAAAAAAAAATTAAAAAAAAGAATACTTCTGAAATCAACTTAGACATAAAAAACAACAAAAAATATTCAGTTATGAGCATCCCTGGTTTTTTTTGTTGTTTTTTTAAATTATTATTCGAAACATTTAGTGATGTGATTGGAAACTAGAATTAGCGAACTGTAAAGAGTGCAAAACTCAAAAGTTTTTTTTTTCTTTTTTTTCCCCAACAGGCGGTTATATTATCCGATTTTATTATTAACAAGGATATTATTAGCTTGTTAAAAAATCAACCCTTCTACTTTTATAGTTTATAATTCAGTTTGTAATATATTTTAAATTAATTTTATGCCGTGAGGAGGAAGACTCTATTCCCGTTTTCCCGCGAAAAGCAAGCAAAAGCCCTACTCGTGATACTCTGCATCGGGGACTGAATAAATCAACGTTGACCATGTTCCACTCCAGTTGGACCTAGAAATAAATATCCACGTTACTGATAACCAAATAAACGACGATAACAAAATGACAGAGCTGATTTATTATTTTCTAGCGACTTCTTTCTTTGATCTTTTGGTCAACACACACAAAAACTGAGAGTGCGGATTAAGTGCAAACATTACTCACGTCTTGTCGCCCTCTGCAAAGTCAGCTGTACGCACAGCGTCGTAAATAGGATCACGCACAATAACCTTCTGTCCATATTCAACCTCCAATTTTCAGTTGTATCAACCTGGACTTCTCCCTTGTATCAACCTGGACTTCTCCCTTGTATCAACCTGGACTTCTCCCTTGTATCAACCTGGACTTCTCCCTTGTATCAACCTGGACTTCTCCGTTGTATCAGCCTGTGCTCTTCAGTTGTATTAGCCTGGACCTCTCTGTTGTATCAATCTGGTCTTTGCTGCATCAACCTGCACGACTCAGTTGTGTCAATGCATCTGTTAATTTGAGTGCAGTGTTTTTATAGCGCCGTTAACAGGTTGACCGGACCAGGAGTCGCTCGTTTGCTTGCGCACATCCCTTTCCTGTGTTGAGGTAAAGCACTTGACCCATTGGCCCCTCTTCTCCATCCCGACTGTGTCACCCTTATGACATCTGACGCGTATGTCTTAGGGTGCATACACATACATGAGAGCATGACGTCTCCGGATACCATGGTGTTGTTGTTGTTCAAATTCAAACCGTAGAAGAGGAAAAACTAGCTCACGGGTCCTTGAAATGGGAAAATATCTCAAGAGGGACGTAAGGATTACTTTGGGGGTTTTATTTGCGTTGTTTGGGGGGGGGGGGGTTGTTTGCGATAAGATTTGAAAAGTTGTCCTAATCTGACCATAGATATGTTATTGGTTCTCTCCAGACATTTTATGATTCTGAGAAATATGTTACGGACCTGCTTCTCTTTATGTCAAAGATTGAATAAATAGCCAAAGGGGCTACCCGATTTTTCTGAGAACCTGTGGTCGGGGCTGGCTAATGCGTCACATCAAAGCCCACTAATAATTATAATTGCAGAAATTGGTCGCTTGTCGACAAGTCGCCTCGACAAACTAGTGCTCAATTTTTGTGTCTGGGTGTTTTTGTGATGGCAATTTGGAGTCTAACCGCTAGGCCGTTCATTCACAGTTCACGTGAGACCACACCCTTGCTGTTCACGTGAGACCACACCCTTGCTGTTCACGTGAGACCACACCCTTGCTGTTCACGTGAGACCACGATGTCGCCGTTCATGTGAGACCATTCTGTCACACTCAACATGAGACCATTCTGTCACAGCTCACACGAGACCATTCTGTCACACTCACATGAGACCATTCTGTCTCAGCTCACGTTAGAAAATTCTGTCAAAATTCACATGAGATAATTTTTCACAGTTCACATGAGACTATTATGTCATATTTTACATGAGATCATATGTCACTATTCACCTGAGACCACTATGTCATTATTCACTTGAGACCATTTTGTCACCATTCACGTGCGACTTGTTTAGGAGATAAGAAAGATAGGAGCATACACTATAATGTGGCTCATAATTTAATACATGCGATCTTACTGTGTAACATGAGATTATTTTTTTCTTCAAATGTTCATTTAAACTCTAACTTTGTGTTAGTTTTTTGGAACAACATAAACTTATAATGTTGTCGAGTGGGCTGCATCAGGTTTCGGTGTTTGGGTTGTATTGGTTTTTTTTTTTTATCTTCTCTTGGAGTTTCGTGATTTGTCTTCTCTTGGTATTACAGTGGTTTATTTCTCGTGCGATTCGAGGTTTTATCTTCTCTTGAGGTGCAGGGCTTATCTTCTCTTCAAGAACACCTTCCTTACTTGACTGACTTACTGGTCCATTTCACCCCAGCAGTTGGCCTACGGCTGTGAACAACCCCCTTCCTCCTCCAAGAACGCCATTTTCATTATGGCATTTATAGATGTGAAGTGGTTTAATGATTCCTTGGCCTATGTTACATGTTATTTTATTATTATTTAATAACCTTCCTGGGGGGGGGGCATCTGGCAGTTGAACTTCTGTCTCTAAGCTTAATTTAGCTGCATGTGAATTATAATTGGGGGGGGG